TATAAATTCTTTCCAATTGACGCTCAGATTGCGCACAAAAATGGACGATTTGGGAAGAGACGTCGCGATTATTCTATTAGTTACCGATCATCAATGACTATAAAAACGAGCCGCGAGCCGCGAATCGTCCATGTTTGCGTAGAATTTGAGCGTCGATTGGGCGGAATTTACCGTACGTAATCTCGTTTCCAGTGGAGCATCTTCAAGTACCAACAGCTGGCGTCGTTGAACGTGCGGGAGGAAGTTATGGCGAAACAGTTGAAATCGATGGTGGACTTTGCTCTGTGGACGACGTTGCAGGACGAGAGGGTGACCGTGGCCCCGCTCGAGGCGGCGGCGAAACTGCTCGAGGATTCGCTGACGGAGGACTCCGATCAAGGAGAAGGAACCCCGAACGAGGAGACAGCTCGAGAGGAGACCGATCGGAAACACCGGGCCGAGGTCGTCCTCTACGTGGTGAGCCCTCTCCTCGAGAAGGTCGCGCTACCAGCGAATCTCGCGAGGGTTTTGATCAAGCTGGTCCAACTGCATCCTCGATCCTCCCTGGTCTCATTGATCGGACCGGCCATCACCAGATGCTTGAAGCATACCGTGGACTTCGGCAAATCGCCGGACATGAGGAAGCTCCTTCAAGTGTTCGTGGCCGCTCTGTACGAGGCGGAGACCGGCGAGAAAGCGATTAGAAACTATATCGCGTCCGTTCATGGGCCGGGAAGCGGCTGTCCACATCCGAGAGTGCTTCCTAATTTCGTGTCCGTTTGCGTCGCTGCGATTTTCCACAGGTTTGTTTATCGCGTTCGTGCTCCCTCCGTTGCATCGCGCGTTGAAACCTACCGACGTCATATCACCTCGCGTTTCTTTGTTTTCCAGATTCGACGCGGCTCGACGTTCCCAACAGGAAACCGACGGGACCCCGCCGCCGTTGCCACCGCTGGATTGCTACCTGTTCGTTCTAAACGTCGCGTAAGTATCCGAGAAGGTATAACTATTATAAGCTAAAACTATTAACTATTATAACTATTATAACTATTATCGTTGCTCGAATCGTCCTCAGATCGGAGTACGCCGACTGGCGACCGGGTTTGGGCGCTTTGCTGCAGCCGGTGCCCTTTCCGGAGGAAGCTCTGGCCATGAAGGAAGTCCAACAGTCTGTCCTGTTGTGCGTGATAAAACGGTTGGCGAAAGATTCGAGATGCGTCGTGCATCGCTTCCTGCTGCCGATCAGAGAACCGAGGCCCGGCTGGATCCACGTCGCCGTACCGTCGAGCCCCGCTTGTCCCGATCAGGGAGAGCTGTTCGGCGAAATGGTGTGTACTTCGTACTTAGAAACCGGCATCCGTTCTCCGGCACTAAAGTCCGATCCGTTTTCGATCAGCTGACGACGTTGCTGGCCTGTTGCTGCCGCCGCAAGAGATTCATAGGCTCGCTGGTGAAACAGGCGCGAGACGATTGCATACTTTTGGCGGTGAGAGGCTGCGAGGCCGCGCAAGAGGCTCTTTGCTTGATGCTGGAGTGGCACCTGCTGCCGAGCGAAGAGGCTCGACTGCAGATTGTGAACGCCCTCGAGTCGACCGTGTCCGGCAAGGAACGGTACGCCGCTCTGTGCCAGAGGCAAAGGAATTTGCAAGAACTGGTGCGTAAATTCACAGACTTTTATCCGCGATGTTCCGTTCATTTCCTATTTTGACCTATTCGATACGGCTGCGAAACAGCAACAAAAGGGCGGCCCGAGGAAACTAACGCTGCCAGTACGCGCGACCGACGCCGACGTCGCCATTCTGCTGGGCGGAGGTGCTCTCGGTAATCTGGAATGTCTCAGCCTGGCTTTCACGTCGGTGACCTCTGCCTGCGCGGAGCAGCTGATCAAGCTGCCGGCACTGAGGTACCTGAACCTGTGGGCGACCCAATTCGGCGACGCGGGCCTGCAAATGATCAGCGAACACCTGCAGAAGCTGCAGGTGCTGAACCTATGCGAGACTCCCGTCTCCGACAAAGGGATCTCGACTCTAGCCTGTGAGCGTCTTCTTCTATCTAGCCGATACGGTAGACGGATATAGCTCGTGCGTTGACGCCGATCGTTTCTATCCGCAGCACTGACCAGCTTGCGGAAGCTGAACCTGAACAGCACCAAGCTGTCCGTACAAACCTTCGAGTCGCTGAAGAAGTGTCTGCCGGCGCTGCAGGAGTTCGACGTCAGGTACACGGAAGCCTGGTGACCAGAGGTTTCGAGTCGGCGCAAGCCGGCTAGTCTCGCTGTTGCCAGCAACGAGGACAACACCGGCGCCGACCACGTTCAAGAGAAGAGGCAATCTTCTCGAGCCGAGTAGACTTTTAGAAGAGTACTTAAAGAGATTCGATCACGGTTGGCGAGCGGATTCCCGCAAGTACGTTATATTATACGATACAATCTACGATATAAGCGATCGTCTTTCTTGTAATCAGGAAACGGCTCTCGCGGATACATGGTACTGTCACGATGGTAACCGTGTCTATCGAAAACGAGTGTCGCGAAGGAGAAAGAGTAAGCGTGACTAGGACCACGATAAAAGCCTGGACGCGATCACGGTTCAACGAAGAAAGGCGACGCGAGCAGAGCTTCCTAGAAGCCTTGCATACTGCCTAAAAAGTTGTTTGTTGTTAGAGGTACCGAACCACGGGCGTGTTACGGGACGCGTCGAAGTTGGAGCACCGAGAGCGTTTCCGCGAGTCCGCGAAAAATCGGCGTCGACGCGAGCGCGAGCGAGATCGAGATCGAGCGAATATTATATATATATATATATATTATATTATATTATTATATATTATATATATATATATAATATTTCATCGCTCGTCTACTCTTGTTTTTCTCGTGCTCGCGAATTTGCTCATTTCTCGCCAAAAAAAAAAGAAAAACACTTCGACTACCACGTGTATACAAGACAACGGACAATGGAAGATGTAAATACTGGTTTATTAGAGTTTTCTTCTGTTCGAGAGAACAGAAGGAAGCAAGGATTGATCCACGTTCGATGCTTAATGTTCAACAGGTATCACGGAATCTCGTGTTCCTCGGTCTTTCATTTCGTACATACGATCGGGATTTATCCGCGCAACGTGGATCTGCTCGTTCGAACAGCCTTCTCGATGTGGATTAAGGCCATAGTCGCGCAGAAAAAGCGTCGAAAACAAAAAACCGACGTTGATCGTCTCATCTTGTTTTTCTGATTGAAATCAAGGATAAATTAGCCCGCGTAGAAGAACAAGAAAAACAAGTATGTACCGCAGAGAAACAAGAAAATATGATCAACGTCCGTTTTCTTTTTTCTCGGCGCTCGTGTGACCCAGGCCCGAGGGAGTAGAGTCGAGACTTTCATTTTCGAAAAAAACAAACCGGAGCACGTTGATCGTCGCGATGGATCGGAACTGATCGCCGACCGGACGTAGTTTTACCAAGGGAACAGAGACGTTTGTTCGATTGAGAATGATTTTCGAATATCAAAATAACACCGGTTAGAATTCTACGAACGTGTCGCGCAACTCGATTTCGTTACGAGTCGCCGCGACGCGTCGAAGTAGAAAACCGGACAACACATGTTCAGCGCAATCCTTCCTCGATATATTATATTAAATTATATATATTATACTGTATTATATTCTATTATATTATAAATACTTCCACGAAACGGTAGACCACTGTTTTCGACGTTGAGAATTCCGTAAAATTTCATCGGCGCGCTTCTTATATTACGGCCGAAGCTTCTCGCCGATTCCCCGGTTTAGATGGGCGCGAACAAAACGGAGAACGAAACAGAGACTCATTCGAGGAGGGTTCGCCGAGGAGAGAGAGAGCCTTCGAAACCTTTATTCCTTGAGATAACGCTCAACTGCCTAAGAGTTCGAGCTCTGACCACTGCCAAAACGCGCGCAATCCGAACGGAACGAGATTGCGCCCGTTCGTATCGTGTTTTCTCTTTAAAGCGAGTTTTAAGCGAGTCCTATCGAACGAATTTTACTCTGGATTCGGAAGTAGCTTAAGACGGTTAAATCTTCGCCTTTCGAATATCGTGTATCTGGTCATTGGGAAGCCTTGACGGTTCGGTCGATCATTGTCGGCGGCTATTAGCTTTATTCGAAAGTTCCCATCTGTGTTTCATTCGATTCGAGGTGAACGTATCTTATCCGTAACGAAAATGTTCGAATCAACGGGTTGGGCGAAATACAATCGCGCACCTCTATTTCACTCTACATAGACTATTATAGTATTTATCGTTCGCGTGACAGAGTAGAGACGTCTTTCGATGGGGGAAGATTGGGAACTTTGCCGTATAAATCTGATACTCTCCGTTGCGCAGGCTCGAACAAAATGGCGAGTTGTATAGTTGATAGGTTCGCCGTTTAGGCGGTTTATTTCCTTTCCGACAATGTACATACTTCAAATACATGTATACGTATAATATTACTGTTGAAATTAGATATGGTTTCTTTGTAATCGCGAATCGATGATGGCCGCCTCGTTGTCAGTGTACGCGCGAAAAGTCGCTACGCAAGCAGTAGAGTGGCGACCCATGCGCAGGGAGTTTCGCACAACAACGACAGAGCCTCTGTCCGATCGTAGCTCGGAATTGTAATGTTCGCCCGGTGGACACGCTATGCCGCTGTGCGGAACTCTCGCGCATGCGCCGCCTGCCCCCCACTCCTCGCGTAGCAAATTTTCGCGTGTACGCTGCTCGTCAGCCTCGGTCCGTCGCGTTGTCGGTTCTTCCACGATAGCCGATGCGTTCGCGAGCGATTCGAATCGTCTCCGTTTCAATACCTAACGAATTCGCATCGAAAGCAATTTCCATAACTTTCAAAGTACAAATAGCGAGTGTAGATGTTTCCAAAAAAAAAAGAAAAGAAGAAAAGAGAACAAGTCGGTTTCCATCGGACAGAAACTCGACGGCTCGCGAACGTGTAACGCGCGTTAGGTTGTCTCTGCTGCGATTCTCCCAACGACGACTCGTCCATGTTATTGTACTCCGACCTTTTATCGATAATTTTCCACGGTCTGCGATAGCAACAGCTTCCGAGCAATGTGTTTTCGGTTGATTGTTTCATTCCCGCGGTTAAAGGACGACCTAATGAAACTCGATGTTTATGCGAACACCTTCCAGCAATCGAAAGAACAGCGTCGCGAGTTGTTAGGAGTGTAAAGTCGATAAGCTTATAAGGCACGATAAGGAACACCGGAACAACAACGAAGTTTCTTTGATTCGATCGTTTGAAATTAAAAAAGAAAATTCAAAAAGCGTCGTGACGGACGGATTGCTAATGCCTGACGCTGTCGCTCGGCTCTATGGCTATCTTGGACTGCAAATCGGTAGACAACTCGTTCCATACCGACTGCGGCACGGTTTCTGAAATCAAAAGAACGTTGGAAAGTTGTCGATAATAAAGGGAACAAGGTCTGTAACGAGCGAAAGAGACGAAAGATGATTAATTAACACGTTGAATGCCACGGGGGTCACCGGTGACCGGCACTTAACTTGGCGGTGACGCCATGGGGGCCACCGGTGACCGGCGCGCCCAAATTGATAGAAATATATATAATTTAAAACAGATGTCAATGTCTAAAATTTTGTATTATTACCATCGTCGGTTCAAACAGTGACCACTGTTGCAATTAACATGTCAAACATGGTTATACACTGTAACTTATCTATTGCAGATAATATTTCAACATTATATGTATCGCATAAAAGAAAATTGATCGCGGCGCCACGGACAATTTCTGTAAAACCGGCGTGGCATTCAACGTGTTAAGAGTGAAACGTGTCGCGAACAGTGCAGTCAGAAAAATTAACTACGCAAGGCGACGCGTGCGCAGGGAGTGGATCATCCTACCGGATAAACATTGTAATTCTGAAGCACAATGGCGACGCGACGAAGAGCCCCGGTTCGATCGTAGTTCAGAATTGTCAACGTTCACTCGGTAAACGTCCCACACCGCTGTGCGGGACTCCCTGCGCATGTCTCGTTTTTCTTAGTTGATTTTCATGCTTGCACCGGTCGTGAGTCGTGAGTCGCGAGCAAACCCACCGACCGGCGACAGTCCTGGATAATTTGTTGGACCGAAAACCGACTTCTTCCACTCGTATCAGAGCTATCAACGTAATAATGTCAATTAATATCGATTGAATTTACCTACCGGTTAGCACCTCTATACAATTGAAAATGTAACTACACGTTCAATGGAAAGAAAATAAATATCCTCGTTTCTTTTCTCACCTTTACACGTGTACAACAGATTCGACCAGGTGATCTTTTCCTGGGAGAAGCAGTAGACGCCGAGCCGGCCTCCCTTCAGGGTCGAGTCATAGACGTTCCCGGAGTCGGCCATCAGCTGTTTGCCCTGGTACAGCCTGAACCTGATCAATCCGATCTGCGGTCTATGGAGAAGCTGCCATCTGTACGGAGTCCTTTCTTTCCAGCCGATTTTCATCGGGTCTCTCCAGAGTATCTTGACTTGATTCCGGGTGTCCTCGTTGTGCCAGAGGCTGTTCCTGAGTTCTTCTCCGGGGCCGGTGTTCGAGTCGACGAGCTTCAGCTGAATTCCTGGCTCCCCGACCGCCCGGAACGGTGACGGCATCCAATACGGCTGGTGTCTCTTCTTCCACATGACGACATAGAAGCGTCGGTTGTCTTGGTAAGAGAACACGAACCCAACGAAATCGTCGTCGGCGTCGTCGTCCACGAAGAACGTGCCCTCGAAGTCCACGCCGCCGAACACATCCGGACCTAGGGAAACACCAGAGTCACGCAAACGATTCTCCTCTTCTTTCTTTCTTTCTTCGCAGTGGTCTCTCGTTTTTAAGTCCAACATTACCGATAGCGATTCCAGGATCACTGTTGGCCAGCTGCTGGATCTCGGCGCCGCCATGATTGATCCTCCAGACTGGGTCGGACTGGGCCGTTCCGAATGGATCCAGAGCGATTGTCACGTACTTCCGGAAGTCCGTCGTCCAGATCAAGCTGTTGTTCGGACAATTGTCCTGAACATTGATCACGGTGTCGTTGTCGTTGTCGTTCCAACAGGCGTCGCCGATGTACTCGTCTGAAAAGATGTTCACGATCAAAGTTTGCCCGGCGTTGGCGGACACCGTAATCCTCTCGATGCAACTTACGATGGCTGTGACGTTGGTTCGGATTGTACACGTAAGGACAATTGTCCCGATGGTTCGGCACTCTGTCGTTGTCGATGTCGTCGTCGCACTCGTTCCCTATGCCGTCGCGATCGTCGTCGTTCTGCCCCGCGTTCGGTACGTCAGGACAGTTGTCTCTGTCGTCTTGAATGCCGTCCCTATCCCTGTCGCTGTCGTTGTCGCAAACGTCGCCCACTCCGTCGCCATCCTGATCCATCTGGTCCGGGTTGGGATTGAAGGGACAATTGTCACAGGCATCGCCGATCCTGTCTTGATCCGAGTCGATCTGATCCTCGTTCTTGTTTCCAGGACAGTTGTCGTGGTTGTTCGGCAGACCTGGAAATTTGAATGCCCTGACTACTGGCTCAAACGAACCCTTCGGGGGGCACACTTGTGTAATAACGTGAAAATTAAATGTTTTTCTTTTCATTTTTTTGTTTTTCTTCTTATATTTCTATATTCTTATATATAGATATTATAATATATTATAATATAATATATATATAATTATATTATAATATAATTATAATTATATATTTATTATATAATTATAATTATATATTTTATTGTAATATAATATATATATATATATATATATATATATATATATATATATATATATATATATATTATATTATAATAAAATATAATTATAAAATATATATAAAATAATATGTTGAAATAATATTTCGTTAATAATAACGTCGTTTCAAAGTTAAGCGTCTCGTCTTCGAACGTGTAATTTCATTTGGGATTATTCATGATTCCAATGACTTGCTCCCATTTACCGAAATGATGCGACCAGTTCATTTTTTCCTCCTACTATCGCTCGTCGTTTCCACGCTGCTTCCGGTGTTCCACCAAACTCTGACGCATTTGTAAGAATACTCCGAGAATGATAATCGATGTCACCGTCCGCGTAAGTGTCGTTCGATCGAGTTCTCCGGCTTATCTACTTGCACGATCTGGAATCGACGAGAATCATCGGAATGGTTCTATTAACCCCGTGAACTCTTCGGGAACGGTAACGGGACACGCGTGACCCAGCCAGCCTGCGCTTCTTCGCTCCGAGCGGAACCAAATTAAGAGGGACCTGTAACAAACTAAAAATCAGGTGTTCGATCGTCTTCCTCGGATCGCCGTGGATCCTATCCTCTCTTGGACAATTTTCGACATGCTATCGAAGCGAAAGCATTTATTTATTTAGTACGAAAATATGCGAATAGTGCAAACGATTTGTCTTCGTATTTAACCTGTTCATTCGTAAAATCAGTGCATCGAAGTCTGCTTGTCGGTACAAAAGAAAATCGTTCTAAGCAGAACTGTCCGGCGAGAGAGAGAGAGAGAGAGAGAGAGAGAGAGAGAGAGAGAGAGAGAGAGAGA